TATGTGTAGGAATTGAATATCTGCAATATGATCATTATATATAACAGATCAACCATTAATTTTAATGCAGTATTATCAAACCAAAAATGCACAGTATTTTAGTGCCCATAATCTATGTAGGATATGTCCTCTTATATATTTAGTTTTTGCAGTAATGAGTTTTTTAGCCTTTTAAGTTTTCATTTGATCTCATTTTAATTGTATCATTACAATAGATCTTGTTCATTTAAGTTTTCATTTGATCTCATTTTAATTATATCATTACAATAGATCTTGTTCATTTAAGTTTTCATTTGATCTCATTTTAATTATATCATTACAATAGATCCTGTTCATTTAAGTTTTCATTTGATCTAATTTTAATTATATCATTACAATAGATCTTGTTCATTTAAGTTTTCATTTGATCTCATTTTAATTATATCATTACAATAGATCTTGTTCATTTAAGTTTTCATTTGATCTCAATTTGTGTGTTTTAAATAATTGAGCATTGATATAGCTTCTTATTAAAATGCACATCTATCAATAGATGTACGATTAATTATGTACACCTAGTCTGAGTTAATCCTATTAATCCCATGTTTGAGGGAATGATGCCATATTACACTGTACAAAAAGACACACACTTGCTAGTAGAACATATAATGATTTGAAAAGCCGTGACTAAAAAAGTGTATTTTTCATCAATATACGATTAAACACCATATATTTTTAGTATTGCATGTGGATACATTGAACATTTCTTTATACAATGTATAGTGTTAACTAGGGATCCCATGGTGGCTTGACCCACTGGTATAATAGCTAAATATAATATGGGATTCCTACTGCGAACCCAATTCTCATGGCTAGAACCTTGATTTATCAAACCAAATAATGATGGTACATAAAATGACGTATTGGACAATTGTCTCAAAGTTTAGAATGTCCAACTTTATTATACTCCTATGTATGCTTATGGGATATTCTGTATATCCTAATTATTACCAAGGAATCAGGTCAAAAAATTTATATTCTTCCACCTAGAAATTAATGATACTTCGGGAGGGGGTGACAAATAAATTTATCCCCAAAATCATATTAATTTTGCATATCAATGTCAAAAAGAAATGTACACCATCAATGATTAACACATACGTCGATGCCTGTTAAGGTAGTTCCATATGATGGGTATTTTATGATTACAATTTACAATATTTAATTAAATGGGTTATATTTTTCAAAATTATATTTGGAAGCTTACACATTATTGTAGATCTGTAGATCACATAGTTTAAAATCAAAATGTTAAAGTTATGTTGAAAAAGCACTCCCACAAATTATTTTTTCTATACTTATAAAAATGCAAAACTACCTTAAACCTTGTCTTGGAAAAGTCTGAGGATTCATATCATTAGTTTTTTGTGTAAGAATAAATTGATATTATGACCTTATCCCTAACTCAATATATTTATAAAATGAATGTAGCAAGTAAACTTTTAATAGCTGGATGTGGACCATTATTCAAAGAACTATAGTACATGTATATACCATATATATATAACACAATTTTTCCTTCTCCTATGTAACCGTCTTTATTTATATTATAATGTAATTTATCATATTTTCGCTTAATTGTATTATTCATATCCACATGTAAACTTTTTGTTTACTTTTATGCCTGATATAAAAGCTCAATTAAAATGTAACTCACAGTAGAGCTCACGAAAGTACATATAATATGCCTTTTTTCTTCGTTTACATTTGGAATGTGATGTAATTAATATCCAATTATCCTGAATAGAATGACATATCAGAGTGAAGGAGATTTTGAACTGAGGGCTCTGAGAAGGAATATTATAATGTTAGTAGTTAGCGAAATGACAGTATAGATGCAATTTACAATAACAATTGTCAGCAATTTACCAAAGAATGCCTCATATCATCTTTGTATAAAGACATAATTATAGCTGAATTAGCCTTAACCTCTGCTTTAAATGGGCTTATTAGCCTTTGCAAATTGTAGATGAACTTATCAGTCAAAGTTGAATTTTATACAGGGTGGTCCAAAAAGTGAAAGTAGGTTCACAGTTTACAGAAAGAGATTATTCAATAACTGTAAACCTAATTTGAGGCCACCCAGTACATAAAGGGGCTCTAGATTATTCTGCAATCATATCAGAACAATACTAATCTCATTTTTTGAATATTTTGTAATTTATTTATACCAGGCCCGTAGCCAGGGGGGGTTCGCAGGGTTCGGGCGAACCCCCCCCCTGGCCAAAAATTTGTCAAATGTGAACCCCCCCCTGGAAATTTTTGAAAAATGAACCCCCCCTTGGCAAATCCTGGCTACGGGCCTGTATACACACATATGTTTTCCTCATTGGTAAATGCCAAAGCTGTATAGTGTAAGGGTTGTATAACTAAAATGGTGCATTGTAGAGTAGAGTTTAAGTGAATGTTGATATGTAAATGTGAGAAAGTATTTTGTGAGAAAGATGCCCAAGTGTTTTCACATGGAGCGTATTTTGAGAGGATTTTTACATTTGTAAATAGTGGAACGTTTTTACACGAGATTTACATGCTGAATGGAGTAAAAACTCAGGTTTAGGGATAGTGGGGCTTTTGTGTCATGAAGACCAAAGATTTTGATACAATGTTTTTTATACAATGGTAGGTTTATGTAATATACCGAACATGTAGTTGCAGAGAAAAGCATGAAACGCGAGGATTGTTCATCAGGAACATTTTAGAAACTGTAGTTAAGTTGTAGTCTTAGAATAAATTATAAGTAATAAAATAAATTGAGTAAAATGTTATCGTTGATTTATATTTCCTTTTTATGTCACCACCAGCAGTGGTGACATATTGTCATAGTTTCAACCTTTTTGTGGACATTGTTTGCAGGTAGGTGTTCAGTATATGTAACAATGGCGAGTTTGTAACAAATGGCAGGTGGTGAGATTTTGCATGTTAAGGCCTTGTCACCATCACCATTTAACATGAGTTTAAAGTGGCAACAAAGGGCAATGAATGATAAACATGTTAATTGATCCTTACAAACTTATTGATTACTTGTAATATTTGTGAACAAATATTGAAATAATTGAAAAAAGGGAGGGCTTTCTTTTTATAATTGTATTAAATAACCTAAATATTGAAGCTTTTTCATGAGATCAGGTCTTAAAGTGCCCGATAAACTAAAAAATGTGCATGCGTCCAGGTGTTGATAAACTATAAATAGCGAAAATCCAGGGTTTGTCACCACAAGGTAAGCCAGGGCGTGTTGAGAGAACAGCTAGTGTTGATATTGAATTTACATGTAACCAGATAAGTTTCCTTATTGAAATTACATATGGTTATTAGCAATACTTTGTAGGTGCTAAATAATAAAATATTTAGAGTATATATGAGAGAAATTGGCCATTTCGAAGCTGTTGAAAAGTTTGTGGCTCTCGGCTACACCGGGGAATTTACTTCCATGAGTACACACATAAATGTTGGACTCCCCAAGGTGACCTGGCATCCAATATGCGACTAAATGCTACTATCAAGAAGATAAAATAACGAATACGACAATAAGTTATTGCATGTGACAATTCCGAGCATTCATCTCACTGAAGTATTTTGAAGTGAAAATAAGATTTTTGTTTTGATACATGGATTCAGATGAACGTAACTTTATTCTGACAACTAATCAAAACTGAACAAAATTGATTGTACGTAACAGACAATTTATTGTTTTACAATGTTTTGATTGGCTAAACGGATGAAACCAACAAATTATGACATGTAAAATGACAATTTTGAAATGTAAAATTTAAAAGTGACAAACACAACCTCCCTATCCACTCTTTGGGAGCCCTGCTAATATGTACATGCAGCAGTGGTAGTGTACAGCTTATTATCACACTACTGGGCTTTGTATTCTAAAGCCTGTTGTTTGTAATAACACTGTTCACTCAACGTATGTTTTGTGTGTGGGCAGTCAACGATAATCATTGTTTCATCCCGGTTATATGACCTCGGCAATTATAACAAAACCGTACTGAACGAAAAAAACGCAAATAAGAGAAAGCTTTCACACACATATAAAAAATGAACTAGTCTAATCCGCCAGTATAAACTCTGTGCTATACGTAGCCGGGTCAGGCGCACACTTTAACGTTTGGGGTTCAGAAAAAAGTTACTATAGATACTCAGTAAGGTCAGACCCGTAGCCAGGATTTGTCACTTTATATAAAATTCCAGGAGGGGTTGACTTTTCACAACTTAGGCCCAAAATCACTTGAAAACTGCTCAGAGTGGTGAAAAACTGCATTATTTTGAAAGAATTTTTGATCAAGGTGTTTAGATCGTTCGATCATTAGACTAGAGGTCATCTGAAATGTAATGGATTACTTATTTGGATAATATTAATTGAAATGTCGAGCTTGTCCCGCGCCATCAAGTTGTATCTGTATCTTGTGGCCTTTCACAATTTTTTGTATATGGTTGATTTTGTTTGTCAATATTTATATGATTTGTTTCTGGTTTCAAATCTATTGATTAATTTTGTCTTTCAAGAGAAATGCCATGCATGGTTTGGAAGTTTTGTTGTGGCTGGCCCAGTAGCCTGGTACTATGTTTACTTTATATACACGTGTGTTTGTTATGAAAGGGTTATTTTTAGGTATGACGATTGTGATTAGTTTTGACGTCAATATATAGTAAGCAATCTAACCAATAGGGTTATTGAAATTTAATTATTCACGGCGAATCATCCAATCAACTGAAAGCTGGACACACTTGTCCTCGTGATCACTTGGGCTGATGCAACTTTTACTTGACACACCTTGCATGTGAAACCGCGACAAGATATAGTTCTATAATTACCAATATGAAAAATGGGGAATAATCACAAAACTATGATTTTATTGATTAAATATTTGCGTTTTTTGATTCAATTAATATGATTACTAATTTCAAAGCTGTTTTTAACCTGATATATGAGCATCATGTGTGTTAGGCGGATCGATTTTGAATAAAATTTCTGGTGATGAGTCTCCCCGATTTTAACTCCGCCATTACTCCAAAACAACACAAATGAAAAGAAAAAGAAAACCCGCTGAAAATAAAATTGTCAAAATGGAGCTATAGCAACTGCAAAGGCACACAACTGTGCAGGCACCCCCTTGCACCATGGCGTAAGTATAGTTTTGTGTTAAATTTTGACAACTTTTTGATCGATTTAAAGTAGAAAATGAGTTTCAAAAGTGAAGAGTATTTTCAACTTTGACCACATTTTCCACGTCGACCTATGATGGTCACCTTGTTCTTCATAGAAATTCCAATGCTGTCAAATAAATATGTTGAATTTTGGTTACTATACATTATCATTCAGTTATTCATGTCAGGATTGCGAATATCATATCATGGGCATGCTGCCTTGAAAACCCATGGCAATCTGCAATGAACATTGAAGGACCATATTGTTGTACTTTCATGACAAGCAGCCGCAGTGACCACTATCAATCTTCATTATTCAATATTAGATAGATGGTGCTGGCTGTGCAAAGCAGCAGTCTATGTTTCCATACCCTGCGCGCAGAGTCTAGAGTCCATTTCACTGTTAAAGTGCGTCAGTAAAAGCTATAAAATAAGAAATCAAAATATCATTTTGCAATAATATATGGAAAAATATATTCCTATTGAACATGAATGACATTTGTATATCTTGGATTGGTTCTAGTTTGGCTTAGAAAGTGTGTGGCCTCTTATATTTGGATGCTTCTCTGCCATGTTATTTTCAATAAGATTAACATGGCTGAAATTCTTCAAATTACAAGACGGCACAGGCTTATTGCACAAAAAAATAAAAAATCTGAAATATACAAATGTCATTCATGTACATTATGAATATACTTTTCCATATATTATTGCACAATGGTCTCCCAATTTCTTATTTTTGCCGTTCTACTGACGCACTGAAGCAGTGAAATGGACTTTAGTTAAACTACACTCTGCCTAGTAGAGACCATATTACAGTTGAGTAGCCCCGCCCCCACGACGGGTACCGGTGACAGTTTGGGTAATAAATCACTTCTGACCTACGCGCTGACCTTTCTTCCACAAATCAGCGAGCTTGAAGAAACATACGCCAAATGCGTGCTAATTAAATATCCGCATGTCATTGGTCAATTCCGGGCTCAACGATGACGTCAGAAGGAATGACCATATATAGAACGTCGGTCAAATTTGGCCGACGAACACTGATTGGCGCGGTGAGTTCACAGGTTTATTTTAGTTTGAAAGAGTGAAGACGAAGCTCTCTTTTAAGAAGTGAAGTCAAACGAATGCAAAGGGTAATGTTTCTATAAAGATCCAAGAAAAATTTGATTTATCATCACTGTTCCACACAATCCCTTGACTCTGTGCCTGTGAAATATTTTTGAATTAAAAAATATAGACCGAAAAACAGGGGTAACATCGTCGAATACACCCCGCAGCGCTAGGCACAAACATTTTCTGTACCCCGAACGACTGAAGGAAGTGAGGGGTTCGAAAGCTTTTGTGCCTAGCCCCAAGGGGTGTATTTGACGATATTACCCCTGCTCTGAGGTCTATATTACAATTCGAACATGAAAACTCACCAAATTGATTTGAATATTCATCATGGTCTGCCATTACTACGACCCACCATTATGACGTCACAAATTACACGTATTAACTGGGTTATTGATCTAGAATATAAACCAGCTGAAGCATTGACTTTGTTTACAGTTTATAGAAGGCGTGAATACAGTCATGTTTTAATCTCCAATAAAGCCCGACACAAAATGAGTCCCTGTCCCATCATGGAGCCTAATTTTTTTGAGCAGCTAGCCTCTAGCCTAATGTCACACCTAGTCTCATTAGAATGGGACTCGGAGAACTAATGGAGATAAGACCGTATTGAAGCCCTGTCTGCCCTCTCAAGTCCATGCAATGGTAAATCAGAAGAGACCATTCAGTCTTTTCATGGTGTCTCATCAAGTTCCACATGGTCCCACACAGGTCCTTTAATATAAAATGTACATGTGTATTTTGCTCCACTGTATTCTCACAATCTGATACATATTCAAAATTGTTAATTATATATATTCTCAATTGCTCGTTAGGATGACATTAAGTCTGGCCCCAACTCCCTTCACAAACCTACAACAGTACCGACCTCCCGTATTTTCTCCTACAATGCTTCTGCGATTGGAAATATACTTTATAAAATATTTCTATGAATAAATATTAATACCATTAAGACCTGAATTTACGATGTTTCTATTTTCAGAAACCGACAAAATGCATCCGCTTTCCAAGCACTCTCTCCTATTGATTTACCGGAATCATTAAACATACAAGATGAATTCTCTATACGAAGATCAGGATTTGGCCCAATCTCTGGGCCTGAGCGGAGACTGGCTGTCTAGCCCTGTCTCTGGCTTAGATACCATTAGCGATGACCTTACCAAGGTCACCAAAGGGTCATCTCTGCTTCCCACTGATAGTCTCCAGTTGGATCAGCCAGTTATAGGTAACTATTATAATGGACTTCCGATTTAAAAATAGAGAAGTTTCATTTCAGCTTGTCAAATCATAACTTAACTGATTAGAGTAAAACTGAGGTGCTATTGGTTTTTATGAACTATACTTGACTGAATCTTTCCATTTTCTTCCTCATTGAATGTCAGAGTTTGTTCTACAAAACTTTCTAATAACTTTATAACAGAGAGACAGTACATGTAAGGTTTCACTGAGAGATTTACTGAACTTTACTTAATTAGCTGACCATTTTAATTTGGCGGATCCATCAAATTGTTGAAGTCTCCCAAATTAAGTAGCTGCCAAATTCCCCGGTAATATTAGCACCTTTAGTACATTGTAACATTGCAAGTCTGCCAAATTAAGTAGCTGCTCAAAACAACAAATCCATCAAAATAAAAAACGCCAAATTAAATAGAAGTACAGTAGTTGAACTTTTTTTCTTATTACATGTATACTTAAACTAATGTAAACCATATTTGCAGATGTCCCTCAAGAATTAGGTCCACAGTGGTTCGAGACAAAGGTCGACATATTGGAACTATTAGCAGAGAGTCAAGCTGCTTTGGACAATGCAGACCTTGGCTATGCCAGTATGGACATTAGCCTTACTGAGCCTATTGGCCTCACTGAACCTATCATAGAGCTTCAGGACCCAAACATCGAATCATTCGACCTTTTGAATAAAGGTCTTGCAAATGAAAATGTTGGAAATTTGGGTCTTACCCCCATGATGGCTGCTACCACTAACATCAGTGGAGGCAGCGGTTTAGATCTACTTAATCAACTCGTAGATGAGGCTGCTGACCGTATGTCCAACTGCGGCTCAGATTCTGCTCTGGATCTACAAGATCTTATGTCTCTAGACACTGTGAACAATGCTGATGTGGATTATAACGTTGACAAACATATTGCTGATTCTATTGGAGACTATCAGCCTATTTCCCCCCTTTCTGCCGATGAAGTTGAAAGCTTGTTATCATCTGCTCCATCTTCACCCTCCGAGGCTGCATTCCTCTTGGGTCCAAGGTCATCCACACCTATTGCCCCTGAGCCATCAGTCTCCCGAGCTACTCCTTACAATCGAGCCCCCGTTGCTCCTCCCCAGAAAATGCCTGTTAAGCCTAAAACCAAAACCCAGGATCGTAAAGAACGCAAGAAACAACAGAACAAGGATGCCGCAACCAGGTATCGAATCAAAAAACGTGAAGAGGAAAAAAACAAGATGTCTGAGGAGGATCAACTGGTCAAAAGAAATAAGGAGTTACACGGACAGGTGGATCATATATCACAAGAAATCAATGCCATGAAAGAAATTCTCCGTGCTGTTTTCAAATCTAAAGGAATCACTCTTGAGAAAGTTATTGGAAAGAAACGCCAAAAATAATGCTGCAACCATTGCTATTGACACATGTTGTATGCATATTACTTGTTCAACTACCTCAGAAACCTTGCATACTAAAATGAGAATCAAATCTTCTCTGTTGTATATATTTTTCTATATTATGCATCTTATTGATAATTCACTTGCTGCAAGGTTTCTTGCTAGTCGTCCAAGTTATGTAAATATACTGAAAACAACTAGATGCTGTAGTTTAATTTTACACTATAAGTTATCATAATCCTTTATCATTACCAGCTGATCATTATAGTCTGTCCATGTCTAGGGACTTCAATATCATTGCTGCGTGAACCATGTTCATTTATGTCAATGTGACTTCTGTGACTCTGTACTACAAATATTCCATATTATCACATCTCAGATGAAGTTGATTGCAAATCTGTTATGTAATCCCCTGATAATGTCTAATTTAACAGTTCATTGCATTTCCTTGTGAACATTTCAACAAGTATCATATTGCATGCCGATTACTGAACATGGACCAAATCAATGGTAAAATAAATTATGTGTGTTTTCAATAATATATTGTTGTTTTACTTTGTGATTGATTGAATTTCAGTACATGTACTAGCAACCATGCAGGCCCCTAGCCAGGATTTGCCAAGGCGGCTTCCTATTTTATAAAATTCCAGGAGGGTTCACTAACTTCACTTTGGACAACTTCGGCGCAAAAATGGCCAAAATCACTAGAGAAGTGCTCAGTATGGGGAAAAACTTCATGATTTTGAAAGAATCTTTGTCCAGTGGGGGGGGGGTTCGCTCGAGTGTCATGGAATGAAAATACCAAGATTCTTGGGAATTGTCTTTGATTTTGGGAAATAATTGAAGTGGGTGCCAAATTAACCCAAATTACAGTAAGGGTGGTGGCCTTATAATCCTTATTACAAGAAAATTGACTGGATATTTTATACTTATCATGTACTTAGCTTGGGAAGGAGATACTTTACCAAAATAGTGAGCTCATCTGTTGTATAAATATTACCCTAAGAATTAGGTAGGGTTTTCTTCCACTGTGTTCTTACTTTTTGCCCAAAAATTCAGTCTAGTAAATGCTGAAAATTACTTAATAGGATGTAAAACCTGTCTGCCAATCTGAAAGCTAATTTGTTTGAGGGGCGGAGGATATGTTGTAAGTTTCAATAATATATTGTTGTTTTACTTTGTGATTGATTGAATTTCAGTACATGTACTAGCAACCATGCAGGCCCCTAGCCAGGATTTGCCAAGGCGGCTTCCTATTTTATAAAATTCCAGGAGGGTTCACTAACTTCACTTTGGACAACTTCGGCGCAAAAATGGCCAAAATCACTAGAGAAGTGCTCAGTATGGGGAAAAACTTCATGATTTTGAAAGAATCTTTGTCCAGTGGGGGGGGTTCGCTCGAGTGTCATGGAATGAAAATACCAAGATTCTTGGGAATTGTCTTTGATTTTGGGAAATAATTGAAGTGGGTGCCAAATTAACCCAAATTACAGTAAGGGTGGTGGCCTTATAATCCTTATTACAAGAAAATTGACTGGATATTTTATACTTATCATGTACTTAGCTTGGGAAGGAGATACTTTACCAAAATAGTGAGCTCATCTGTTGTATAAATATTACCCTAAGAATTAAGTAGGGTTTTCTTCCACTGTGTTCTTACTTTTTGCCCAAAAATTCAGTCTAGTAAATGCTGAAAATTACTTAATAGGATGTAAAACCTGTCTGCCAATCTGAAAGCTAATTTGTTTGAGGGGCGGAGGATATGTTGATGGTTGTTTTATAAGAACACCATCCTTAAATATAGGCTGTTCATTAAAGATTAAGACAGACCTACTATAATAATTATATTATATCTGGATTTTCTCATTAACACCATGTGGTATGTCTGAAAGTAAGGAATAATTCCTGTCTTTTCCTCATAATAAATGCCCATTGGTGACATTATCCCTTGTGTAAAGTTTGCTGTTGGTTGTCATTTGATGGTTATTAGATTGCACACAAGCTTCATTCTGTAAAATTACTTAAAAATCATTGGTGGGTTTATACTTGTGATTAACAAAAATAAATTCAATATCTTCGTAAGAAATCGTTTTGATTGGACGTACATGATGTACCAGAGGACAATTGTGAAACTGATTAATTAAAGGAGTTGGGTAAACTAGCAACAGAGAGTGCCCCAATTGAAGTGTGAAAAAACTTTTTTTAAGAATAGGAGAAAAAAACATCAGAAATGCATAGATTGAAGTCTATATTTTTGGGTAGTATTTTTTTAAAAATTTAGAAAAAATTGTTACGGTGTCTGGAGACCTTCAAAGAGGGTGGGGGCCAGAAGGAAAAAAATTCACATATTTTGCAACCCTCTTGATGAATTCCAATTTACTCAGCTATGAATGAATGTTTTTGATTTATCTGTCCAGGATTATGTAAATATATATTTATTTGATCCATACATACAATTGATTTAAACAATATGTACAGTTTAGAGGTAAGTAAAGCTTTGAAAGGACATTTCATGCTGTGTCTGGGTGACATTTTTATTCACTGGAGGTAGTAATCCTTTGAGTGTTTTCACATAGAGCATAACAAGTCTCCACTCTAATAAGTGCTTCTTTAGTTACATAAATGTTATATTGTTGCATACAAAGAATAATTTTGATGGAGACTTATTATGCTCGATGTGAATTTTAGAACTTTATAGAAAATTTTGCCTGCCATTTTTGTTGATTATTCAAAATGGCCAAATGCTATTCATGCTGCATATGTAGGAAGCAGGTAAATTCTCCTAGAAAACGGAGAAAGGTTACAGAAGATTTAGCTTCACAAGTCAAGACTATTGCAACTAATAATAGAAGTGATATTGAGGTAACATAAGCTTGATTTGGGAGGAGATTGTTGTGATATTAGGTTGATATCAGAACTTATATTTTTTGATATTGCTTATGTAATGGCAATATGTTGGTAATTGGGCAGATATAAAGTTAATATTGGATTGATATTTGTCAGAAATTGCTATCAAATTGGGCTTATATTTGGGTGATATTGCTATAATATTGGGCTACTATTTGGGTGATATTGGATTGATATTGGGGTGATATCGCTATCATATTGGGTCCATTATTTGGCTCATATTTGGCTGATATTGGATTTACAGTGGGATATTATTACAATCAGAATAATTGGGTCATATCTGTAAATAAGAGGCTTGATATTGGACTGTTACTTAAATAATATGAGGCCAATACTTGGCTTATTTTGGATTGACATAGAGTGACATTTGATTGACAATTGGTTGATGTTGCTATGATATTAGGACATTATCTGGGTCATATTTGGGCGATATTGAATTGGGTGATATTGCTATTGAATACATAAGGGTTATGTACCGAGAGGTTTTGGATATTGGGTTTATCCAGAGGGAGATATGCATATCTACCTGAGGGACCGTAGGGACCGAAGGTAGATGTGCATATTTCACGAGGGATGAACCCAATATCCAAACCGACCGTACATAACTGCTTTATCCTATACCAAGTAGAGTTTTCAGGGCCATATGGCCATTTCAAAAGTACAAGGTGTAAAAATAAACTTATCATTCATATACAAAGTCATTTTATTGCATTTCCACTACTTACCGGATGCGGGAAGATATGCACCGAAGCGGGAGATATGGCGGGAGATATGGAGGTTCTAAATATAGAAACCTCAAAATCAGGATACGGGATATATCTTACCAACTTATCTCCCTAAAACTCTACTTGACATAGGATAAATAGAGGTTATATAATGGGAGGGATGGAATATGAATTTTATCCTGAGGGAAAATATGATATTGGCAGAGGAAAATCATGAAATGTACATTCTGAATTTAAATGAATTAAAAATAATAAAGTATTTTCATTATTTTATGTACTTTTGTTCTCTTTCAGTGTTGCGTGGGAAGGGCGGAATATATTAATATAAATATCTCATTATTGGCAAATTGCCAATTTACTATATATTGTAATTCCAACCTCTATGAGACTAAATTCCTACAGATATTTGTGATATTTTAACCAAAAAGGTATATTTTGGTAGAAAATAATGAATTTTTGTAATTTGACCTTGACCTGGGGAATATGACCTTGACCTAAATTTTCATACATTTTTGAAACACATATATCACATAGATTAATAAAATAAAGAGAAAACTTGAAAATCAGGTGGGGCTTAAAATGGCCTTGTTTACCCAACTCCTTTCCCTCTATATATCGAAGATATTGTACATACAGTACAACATACATACAGTAGCAACCTTTTTACTGCTAATTAGTTCTGGACTTTCCTGCATATGTGATATGGGAACAATAAGGAACAATATGCTGAATTCTTGAAAAAATAATTTATAGCATGTACAATATATGAGATAGTTTGGTAGTTTCACCATGAATGAATGAGCTTATACTATTGTTCCCATGGCTAATCCCGTATGGGATTACCCATAGCTTATGAAGGATACAGTGATCCTAGGGAACGGACACTTTTGTAAACCTAATTTCCAAGAGGTTTGTTTTCAAAAAAGTTGTAATAAATATAAGAAGTGTTCACTTTGACAGGTTGCACTGTACTGCTTTCATATATTCCCCGGGAAATATGTGCAGAATGATCATTTCGTTTAGTGTAAAATGAAGTGAATAATTTATTATATTTTAGAAAAATTAAAATCACAACAACCTCTTTATTGTATCATAAACGAGAGGAAAATATTATCAAAATGACGTTTGTTCCTCTTTTTTAATTTTTAAGTGCTTTACTTTTGAAATGCTAATTTTGAAGTGAATTTACGTGTCACTTCCGGTTTCAATTAGTTGGGACGAGTTTTCAAAATTTATTTATGAAGTTCTGATATATCGATTTTAACAATGTCGAACGGTCTTTCCCCACAGGACGCTAAAAAGCAGAAAACGGTAAGCATACAAGAACAATTTGAATGTACTTATTTTACTATATATTTTCAAAGAAGCTTGTTTTTTGTTATGATGAATTTTGGGAGTAAACTTTTGACAGCAGGATATCAGCAACACATTCCAGCAGTCATTTAGTGCAGACTGCAGTTAAACCAGTTTACAGTATGCTTTGCCAAAGTTTAACAGTTGCATATTTCGCCAGATGTTTCTTTGGAAAAACTGAATTCACTTTTGGTTTCCCTTAGCAAATCGCACTGTCACTCTTGAAGAAATAAAAAAAACGGTCAGATTGTAAGTTAGTCATATAAATCCGACCGTTGTATGCTGTTCTTCGATATTCCTTGTTCTTATTTGGATATTTATTTTTTATCATTTTCTTTGCATACACGGTCGTAGATATTATATGGAACAAATTGTGGTAAACGCTTTTCTGGCCTGTCTCTGTAACCATAGTTACCATACTAACCAAAGTCACACAAATTATCACGTAATTATTTAGCTCCAACGTCAAAGTGTTAAATCTTACCTTAGACATGTAAAACGCTTGATAATTGTCGAAATATAATCAATTGAATTATATTTTCATTATCGCCCGCCATGTTGCTGAATGTTGTTTCCGGTAGTCTAAATGTATAACATGTATCGAAAAGGAATCATAATTATTTATTACACAGAGATCGATTCTAAAGCCGTTCTCTGCTACTTATTACTTTTCTCATTTTGAAACAATAACTTTTCCAAATAACTTCCCTTCTTAACAACATGACACTGCTTCCCTTTCAACTGAATCTTCGTGTAACAAATACTTATGATTTCGTTTGATATAGTTTTACATCTAGACTATCAGATTAACCCGGAAGTGACCTTGGTAGGCAAAATGAGAAAATTTTAAAATTTAGCAGTGTGCTTATATTTCTTCAATTACCAAGCGTTTTACTTGCCTTAGGTAAGATTAAATACTTTATAGTTGAAGCAAAGAAATTAATTTATCATTTGTGTGAATTTGGTTGGGAAGACATGCCAGGAAAGCAATTCACACAATATATAAGCGCTAGTGTGTATGACCCTCGTATGCAAGAAAATAAGAAAAAATAAATATCCAAATCAGGAAAAATAACAACAAATAACATCATACGAGGGTCAGATTTATATGACTAATTGTAAGTCAGGGCTCTCGCCAGGCTTTTAGACTGTGGCGCAGCACCACACTCTATTTAGCTCCCTCCACACCCTATTGGCAAATCATGACTGTTTTCACAGTCTAAACTTGACTGAAGATACAATAATAGCATGTAAAAAGGATAAAACATAACATAAATATGATTTATCACGATTGAACGGTTATTCTGAAGATATTATCACCACACCCTAAATATTTCCTGGTGAGAACCCTGTAAGTTGTAACTCATTGTTTTTATACAGTAAGACTCCATTGAGTACTTTGAATCCAAAAAATAAGTAATCAAATGACCACATTGCAACAGTATTTGAAAAAATAGAAACATAATATATACAAGACCTAACTTTTCTATATTTCAAATGGTTTTGTATCATGTGCAGCAAAACCGTGGCCTTTTGTAATTTAGGGAGTTTCAGCCATGATAACATGGCACAGAAGCATTAAAACATACATAAGAGGCCACATATATATGATAGCCAAACTACAAAACGAACCAATTGGTTTTTGCTTCAAAACATTTTGCTATGCTATGTCACAATCATCATGATAGACCATGACATTTTATTTCTTCTCAGCCCTGAGATGTTTCAGGTGAAACAGAAAAATGTAATGAGTATCAGAATGTGTTACAAACCAGTTATTAACTGTGCAGCTAACAAGATTGCATTTGCTAATCATAACAGCTTGGGAAATACAAGGTGCATCTTTCTTGGATTCATATGTATGTCCAAGCATAAACATTCACCAAGCTGGTTACTTTAGCACTGGTGATCCACTCGATTACGCTGGTTACCAAAACAAACCATTTGGTAACAAAATGTCGGAACATCCGGAAGGTAACACAAACGTGTATCGGTATCATATGTTTAAGAAAGTGTACATATTTGCGAACAAATAGTTCAGAAGACACTTAAGTTACATAAACGGTTTGGGTTAAAAGTGCAGATCTTAACTGTTTTTCGAAAAAACCGTTTATGTAACTTAAGTGAGGAAGTAAATCGACGATTCTGTTGTCCTCTGAGCTATTTTATCGCAAACATGTACATTTTCTAAAACATATGATACTGATGCACGTTGTGAGAAAAAAACGTCGTGGGGATTCTGCCTACAACGCGCGAAATAAGGAAACAAGAAAATCAAGTGAAAATGACACTAGAAAAATACGAAGGCCATAATGCTATTTTGACAAAACTGATCCACTTTTTATGGAAATACCACAGAGAAAGGCAATGAACAAACTACATTTTACTGCTTGTTTTCTGTTGGCTAGGTAACATGTTAATGACGTCACAAACTAAAATATATGATGTGTGACGTTTAGCTTTCTTGTCTGTTTAGTTGATAGGGCAATAAGTAACTGATGTCATAGTTTATGTTATATTACGTCATATCTTCATCACAAACACAACATATGACGTCGTGATCGTTGCTTTGATGATTTCGTAGGGGGCCTTCGTAAAAAGAAAAATCGTGCCTTCGATGTTCCGACATTTTGTTACCAAAACGGTTCGTTTTGGTAACCAGCGTAATCGAGTGGATCACCAGTGTTTAGCATGCTAGGTAGCAAGTAACAGCATGAATATATTGGCTTACACACATCCAGGCAGGAGCTTTACTTAATCTTATACATGGAGCTTAATCCCTTTTAAACTACACAGTAAATAATGTATGGTGTGGGTGAAATTGTATTCATGCTATTAAAGTAGATTTGAATTACTGTTTACTTTGACCTTTTTACAAGATGAAGTCCCATTCTTTTGTTATTTGAAGAAAACAAAAAGACAGAGGGAAGATTATCCCAGTTGAACTATCGAACTTTTCAAATAGGTTATGTAGAAACTGTATGGTTTATCAGAGGTTTAAATGAATTATCATAAGTTATATAGGCTTTTAGGCCCACGAATATCCCATATGTTAAAAACGGCAGATTAATGCCAAAAATGGTACATTACTCACAATACACCATTTTAAAAAGCACTCCCTGTTTTTTCAAAATCAGCTTGTTTTTATGGCAACCATTCTGATTTATTATATTTTCTTATACTGTATGTGTCATAGAGGGTTTGATAGAAGTCTGTCTAAAATTGAATGTTTATTGGATGCAACTGATGTTTTATTGCAAAGGGCGTTAACTGAAATAAATAAATTATATGTTTATTTCTTAACTCACCTTAGATCAATTGTTGCCTTGTTTGTTTTTTACTTGAGCTCAATTTGTTTACATTTTTTTGCAATACCGATTTTAATACTTTTCAATACTTCCAATGCCCCAATAATTATTTTCATGGATGGTGACAAAAGACATTAGAAACACAATTGTAAAATCCTTCACTTGAATTTGAACCTCTATTTGGCTTTAACAAATTGAAATTTTCACTACTCGTATTTGATGTTTTTTGTAAGGCTCGCTCCCTCAAAATAATCTAGATTTTCAAAAATAGTCTCTCTTAAATGGCTAATTTGTAAAATCTAATTGTTGGTACTAAGTTGGTACTGTTCGTATTGAGTTTTTTTTAAAAATTTTATATATACTATTTATTTTATTTCAGCCCTTCAGATTTGCGTGCCTTTTGAGTTATACTGTAATACAGCATTTTTAGATTAGAGGTTAATATATTTTGTTGATTGTTCTGTTATAGGAAATGTCCACTCCTTGGGTGAGTAGATTAGGGAAGATATTTAAATGTTGTTTTGTTAATTGTCATTCTGGTATTCTCTCTATTCATGTAATTATCATGTGTTAAACCAACTGCAGTAAAGATAAGTGAAAGTATTATTGTAATAATACAGTATACGCTACATGCATTTGCGACCAAGGAGGGATAGGGAGTGCCTGGTCCCCCAAGGCCTAACAAGCTGAGAAATCAATTCAATTGAAGTTTCAAGTATATGCTTTATATGCTTTTCATGTTGAGAAAAGAAAATTTGAGAAGTTTTGTGCAGTCTTGAAATATTTAATTGGTGGAGATGCACACAAATTGAATTGCATTGCCATTTTCAGTAGTTTGCATAAAAATGTATTTTGGAAAAAGTTCAATTTTTTAATATACTAAACCTCTAACTATCCCATGTAAATTCAATTCGTACTAACTTTAGAACTCAAGACAAATACTTTCATAATAACTTAAAAAATACTGAGTGAATTCCATTAACGGTTGGTTTAACATCTGATAGTTCCCAGCACATCTGTTTGATTTCTTTCCAGTCTTGCATGGAGTCTCTTGCTCCCCCCTCCATCCCCAACTTTACTTGGAGGATATGGGCTGTAGGGCCAGGGAAATATGGGGGGAGGGGGGGGGGCAGGGGCGTGGGACTTCAAGCAGGACTTATTCTTTTCTAACAAGCGCTAAAATATACAACTTGTTATTTACTGTAATAACACGGTGCCCATGTCAAGCTGCGCGCCTACTTAGGCGCGCAGTTTGTTTCGATCACAAACTGCGTGCCTAAGAACATTGCATCATTTAAGTTGGAGTCTGTATTTTGAAACGTAATTTAAAGACATTTATCCTGCATTGTTTTCTTGTTCAATGCGTTCATTCTGTGGCGAATATACAAATCTTGCAAATACTAGCAAAAACTATGTGCAAATGAATCTAAGTTTTAAAACATAAGCAGATTAATGGCATTTTCGTCACTGATTTAACGGGAATTTATACGTAAATCGATCTAGCACTTTAAATATAAATGACAAATACTTTAGACTCGTTTTATATTTAATTCCTTACACATTTATCATGTATAATTCAAAATATTTCGAGATAAAACAGATAATCAGGAGATTAAAAAGAAATAAATCACAAACTGCGCGCCTATTTTAGCCAGAAATTACAAATTGTGCGCATACACTATTAAAACTACATATTATCATTGGAATTTCTACAGAGGCACGTGTAGGTGTTTTTCATGTAGCTTTGGAAATTTTGCTTTATCATCAGATTTTATGAGATTTCCATATTGAAAGTCAAAATGTATAATAGAAGTGACAATTAAGTTGGGAACGAAAAAAACTTTTATTTTCAGATCAACATCTTGGTGGATGGACTCTCATAGTGTTTCAATTATGGGGTTCTACTATTAGACACATATGTGCCTTGTATGGCGCTTATGTTTTCTAATAATACAAAACAAGCTTGGATAGGCAAGCAGTTTGGAAATATTAGGCACGCAGTTTGATAAATACATGTGAATATAGGCGCGCAGTTTGACAAGAAAAATGTTTAAATCACGTTTATGGCGTATTATCGTTTTGAACACAAACTTTGCTGATTTAATCAGATGGAGAGATCCTATATATTCTACCATACACAGACACAATGCCTGAATAAACGGCAAATGACGATAAAAAGACATAGATATAACTTTACACTGTAAATTTTGAACACAGAAGTTACTTAAGACCCTTATATTGAGATAACTAGGTTTACATCGGGAAAAACATTGAGTACTATGAGTAAATTAAGTTCATCTTCACAGAATGGTACTATCTTAAGAACGAGACTAACCTTGTATTTTTCGTATTTTGGCTCTTTTTGGGAGTCGTGTCCTCCCCGTCTCACATTTTGAAATATGCTCGCAGTTTGTCAGAGTTTCAAACTGCGTGCCTAGTAGGCACGTTGCTTGACATGGGCATCGTGAATAACCTTCAGTCTAATTTTCAGCCAGTTGCCTTAAAACTGGCTTCATATTTTATATGTGTTTACCACCTTTTTGGCCACATTTCCTTAATTGTGTGCTAGATTGTATGTTAATGTATGGGTGTTGTTATTATTAGGGAGGTTAAGCAACACTTTTTTAATGATACAGGATTTGTGAATGAAGGCCTTGTAAATTATAATGGTTTTGTAAATAACCCCGTAAATTCAATAAATGTGTAAAGTGTCAACAAGATTGGGCATTGTTAACTTAGTTTTTTTTATGTCATTCTTAGAACTTATTGAACGACCTGTGTAATAAGGCTCCTTTTTAGAATGAGAAGCCATGTGTATGAGAAAGGTCCCAATCATATACATATATTAAATGGTCTCTGTAAATTGGTCTTGTAAATAATAAAAGTTCAAATGATGAAGTAGGTCATGGTTTTGAGTAAGGTTTATATTGCCCCGGTCATATTTGATATTCGGCAGCTGTACGGCAGTCGTAGCTTCCCAAAATCGAGAGAAATATGCAGCATAGAAAATAGGGATATGTAGTTTTTCGAAGATTTTCTATTTCAATCTATTATGAAGCTACAGCCGTTGTACATCCACCATAGAGCAGATGTGACTGAGGCTTAAATTGATTGTTAACCACGGACCATGAACAGTATATAAATAAAACAATTAAAATACCCTGTTTGGTTGCATGATGGGAGGCACGTTGTAAGACTGTTACTTGCTTCAATTGCATGCTGGGATAATACTTCCTTAATGTTTCATTTGATATTAACTTGAGTCGCATATATGCTGCATGCTGGGATAACACTTCCTTCACACAATCACATTGGCTTTTAGAATTAACTCTTGCACATTTGTATAGATGGCATGCTTAAACATTTAATCTAGATAGGTTTTTGCAGAAAATATGTCTTCACAATGCTATATGCTTTTACGATGATGTGAAATATATTATTAAACATGTGATACATATTTTTTTATAGTTAATACAGTTATATCACAAAGTTGATACACAATATCACAAAGGTGATATACAATATCACAAAAGTGATATTTTACAAATTTATTTGGTTTTTGCTTTATAGGGGCCTAGATTTTCTGTAAATTGTGATATCTCATTACTAAACATGAACATGTACCAAATAGTCCTTACTTATCCTCTTGAGACCTCGATATGATCAATGGCCCTACAATTGCTTCTCAATGTAACCATCTCAGTGTATCATGAGGAAATAATTCATGTTTTTTACAATATTTATTTTTATGTTTTCTAAAATAGTTACATGTTAGTTGTACTTGGATAGTTTGTGTGTGAATAGAATGTGAAGTGAATTTTACTCGTATTTTAGAATATGTAAGTTCATAAAAAAGTCACTTCACATTCTTAACAAGATTTTTAGAGCCAATGGTTCGGAACTTTTGGATCAATCCTAGTACATGTACATGAAATAGTTTTAAAGAAACAGAATATACAGGATACAAAAGATTTACACTTGGCAAGATATTTATTCACCTATTTGATAAATAAATACTATTCAATCATGCATATATATCTTAAAATATATATGTTACATGTTGACATATATGTTATATTCTAAATTAAAATATAATAAGGTTGTGGTAGTATCATTGATTGTTCATAATTGAAATCCAAATGCTTAGGATCAATACCAACAAGCTATAGATTTTACTAGAATCATATTACTAGAGAGTATAGGCCTTCAGTGAGCTTTTATGATAATACATGTATAGGCATAAACCCAGCAATTTTAGATGCATAAGTGCACGTAAATGCAGGCCCATATCAAGGGGGGAGGGGGGAGGGAGTTTACCATTCTTAGCACTTTTCCAGTGATTTTGGGCTAAAGTTGTCAAATATGAACCCCCTTTAATTTTTTTGAAAAGTGAACCCCTCCTTGGCAAAAGTTAGCTATGGGTCTGAAATGTTTGTTAAATAGACACTTCCAGCAGTATGTAGGGCAATATGTTAACATTATGTTAGCCCATTACATAGGGCAATGTGTTAACATTATGTTAGCTCATTATACAGGCCAATGTGTTAACATGTTAGCTCATTACATAAGCCAATGTGTTAACATTATGTTAGCTCATTATATAGGCCAATGTGTTAACATTATGTTAGCTCATTACATAGGGCAATGTGTTAACGTTATGTTAGCTCATTACAGAGGCAAATGTGTTAACATTATGTTAGCTCATTACATAAGCCAATGTGTTAACATTATGTTGGCTCATTATATAGGCCAATGTGTTAACATTATGTTAGCTCATTATATAGGCCAATGTGTTAACGTTATGTTAGCTCATTACAGAGGCAAATGTGTTAACATTATGTTAGCTCATTACATAAGCCAATGTGTTAACATTATGTTAGCTCATTATATAGGCCAATGTGTTAACATTATGTTAGCTCATTATATAGGCCAATGTGTTAACGTTATGTTAGCTCATTACAGAGGCAAATGTGTTAACATTATGTTAGCTCATTATATTTATTGGACATACCATTATTTGCTATGCATCAAATGGCAAATTGTTCTGCATCTTGAGATAATTGCTATAGAAACGCAAGAAATGAAAACAATTTGATGAGATGATGATTGCCTGGTATATCAGTTGCCATCATTATTAGATTACATCATTAAAATTCTGAAAAATACCACAACCCTCTAATTTTAAGTGACTGTGCGATGAGGTGCAACTTTTTCACCTTTTTGGAGAGTTCAAATTAATAGTTATTTTATGCCACGCTGGGTACAACGATTTATCTGTATCAAGCAAGCAAGCTACATAGAAAATAGTCAACGTGGCAAATAAGTTGCTGCTGTATTGGTCGTGTTAGTTTAATATATAAACAGCAAGGAAAATTCAATAAGTGTTCAGTCATTCTACATGCTGATGAGAACATAGAGCCTCGGCTTATATCACCAGAAGTCGCAAGTGGCTTTTCACACACACAATATGTCTTTATTTCAGAATCA